ATACACGAAAAAGAGATGGGAAAGAAGAACCTCTCTCTCTCTTCCAAGTTCTCTTTCCTAGAAAATTACGCAAATCAAAAAAAAAAGAAACATAAATGAAACGGAGTTTAAAAGTCAAAGTTTCTTTCTATAGAAAGAGAAAGCACATATTTCAAGTGAATTACTTTTTCTTCCCTTTCGCCACCCTTTTCTTTCTTTTTTTTTATTTTCATTTTTACTCTCGTCAGTGAAAAACCATCAGTAGTTAAAAATTATCGTCATTTTCGAGTTCATTTTATTCCTTCATTCGTATCCTTCCATCGGTTCGTTTTTTTTTCTTTCAAAATCGTATAATCTTTTCGATTGTAAGGTAAAGTAATATAAATATTATATACATAATATTGGATCTCGTAATATTATTTCATTGATAAAGACACAAATGACAAAAAGAAATCTTTAATTCTAACAAGAGAAGAGACGTTCATTTATACATACATACACACACACACACACACACACATATGATTTTGATTTTAAATGCTAGTGAGAAGAACATTTTACGCGAAGGTGTTAACGCGACAAAATACTACAAAGAAATAATGAAAAGGGCATACATTTTTACTGGAAAAGCTGAAAAAGAGAAGGGCGGCAGCAGAGGAGGGGAGAAAAGAAAGAAAGTATATAAGAAGAAAAGCAACAACGTGTGTATCCATTCTTCAGTGTTGGTCTAGTCTTAGTTTTTACCGAAAGATCTCCTCTCACGTTTTCATTAGAAGTCTCTCTATTTCTCTCTTTCTCATTTCTACTTTCTTCTCTTTCTTTGTATCGACCTCTCATTCCCTATGATGTGCTATACTTTACTTCTTTTCTTTCCTATTATACTTTACTTCTTCTTCTTCTTCTTCTAAAACAAAGAACGTTACAAACGTCGGACTAGAAGACCGAATCTCTTTACAACTTTCTCTGCGATACTTGAAAAACTGAACTATTCAAAGAGACGCGTTGGAAAAAAAAAAAACAAAACAGAAAAAAGAGAAACAAAAATGTAAAAGAGCAAAAAGATGGGAAAGAAAAGAAAGGGTTGGGAGGGAGGAGGGATGGGGGACAAAATAAGAGAGAGAGAGAGATTAGAAAGATGTGAATTCAAAGCGCAGCAACTTTGGCAACGCTAAATGATGATGATATTAACAATTGGAAACTAGCCATATAACTATTTTTTTCTCTCTCTCTCTCTCTCTCTCTCTTCAGATGTTCGTATGCGAATGCAATTCTGCGAATAAAAGAAAAAAAACACTAGCCATGGTATTTTATCTCTAAACATTTCTCTCGAGTATACTTTGAAGTATAGTAGTATTGCGTTTTCTCTTTCTTTCTTTTAGGATTCTAACGAGAAACGGTTTTAACGATATTCAAACACAAGCTTGCTTCCCCTTCCAAGAAAGTAAGAGAGAAAGAGAGTCTAACTTAAAACTTGGAAGTGAGACAGATTGTCGACATTGGAAAGGGGAAATATTTATCTCTGATGCCAATCTGCGCTTAAACTGTCAGTTGTAATTCTTAACGCGAATTGCTGTTGATAAAATTATTCATACAGAAAAGATAAAGCACAGCTGCATACCTTTAAATTTTTCCTAAGCTTTTAGATAGTACACGCGTAATTGTTTATTTCTAGAAACAAAAAAAACACACACAGAGAGACTTTTATCGTTGCAAGTAAGAAACTTGTTTTAAATGAAATTATCATTTTCAACATCAAATTAGAATAAATTTCTCTTAAGAACAATTAAATTCGTTAAATTCCACTTATTAATTAATATTACTTAATTCGCACTATTCGTATCGATTAGAATCAAATTGAAAATAAAAGATTCGTTTTTACCATCTGTTTATATTAAATGATTACATTAAGTATCAATCACAATGAAAGACAATCGATAGTTTATCTTGAATATTACACACACACATACTCACACATCAAGTCTATTATAAAAATAGTTAAATAACTTACAAGGATCTTTACTTTTTTCTCCTGAAAAAATTCTTGTTAAATATTTAATTAATTCTTTGGCAAATCAATTTGGACATTATCGTTCTACCAATCTCGTAAATTATTTCAATCGATTTCTAATGACACATTTAATGAAAACTAAAAGAACTGTAAGAACATTTTGAAAATCTATTACGTACATTATAAAATAAAATGTATATCTAAACGAAAAGAAATATTTGACCGATTGCCGCGCATGAAATCGCCATTTCATGAGGAGTGGATAGGTGGGTGAATAAGAGGGGGGGTTAGAGATTGATGTGTGTCTCCAAGAATATATCTCTTCTATACTTTCTTTCCTAACGCGGATTCGATCTGGCAATAACTCCGAACCGTTTTCTCCTTTAGCCTAAAGGGCCCGATACTAGTTTTATCGTCTTCGCGCATGCTGCGTTTTCTCTTAGGAAAAGAAGTAGAAAAAACGAGGACGAATTCTAGTGGACGTAACGCAGAGTGAGAAGGGGTCGAGACTGCAGAGGAAGGAAAGTAAAGGAAAGGAAGAGGAGGAGGAGGGGGAGGAGGACGAGGAGGGTAGAGGTAATCCCTATTGTTTCTTCTGTCCCATAAATCCTGCTAGCTGCGGCGTCTTTCTTTCTCCTCTCCATCTTTCCTTTTCTATCCCTTTTTCTCTCAATGGTTTTCCATCTCCCTTTTACATGCTGCTCACTCGTTCGTTCTCTTCAAGTCCAGGCCACGCTTCAACCTTCCGACAACACAACCTCTATCCAGTCGTAGCTGTAACCTTCTTCCTCCTCCTCCTCCTCCTCCTCCTCCTCCTCCTTCTCCTCTTCCTCTTCCTCATCCTCCTCTTCTTCTTCCTCCTCTTCCCTCTCTTCCTCTTCTCCACCGACCACTCTTTTCTACAGGAGATTCAGGAAAGCATTGTCTTTCTCGGCAGCACGCTTCGTAAATCTCGGACCAGCTGTGTTTTACGACACATATGTAGTTCCCGTAAAGACAGGAGCAACGATCCTCTCAGAGATTTCGAAACAGGCGTGTTTGCCTTTCTGCAAAAATCATTCCACCGAGATCAATCTCACCTGAACGGGGGTGGGGGTGGGAGTGGGGGATAGGTCGGTCGTCGCATTCTCTTTCTTGGTCGTTACGTCACGAACGATATTCAAGAAAAATATTCCTGCGACATGTGCGGGTATCATGATTCCTTTCCAAAGTGCATTGTTTTTAACAATAAACCTACCAAGCGTGGCAACTGTAATTTGTCAAAAGTGTATTGAAAACGTATCAAATGTATATTAATCATTTTTTAAATGAAATAATAATTTTATTCTGTGTATTAGTATATACGTTTTTCTTTTTTTAAAACAGTCATTTGATCGTTCACAAAGAAAAGTGTTGGTAGCTTTAGCGTTTAGATTAATTCTTAAGATTTTCTTTGTTTTGTGTTCTTATTTTATTAATCATTACTAATGTCATGAAATTTTGAAACATCGTTAGCCGTGGTACATCGGTGTATCGTTAAAAAGATTTAAAAATTTCTTTTCATATATAATTATTTCAATCACAAGCTCTTAATTTTACATACATTAGTCAAATAACTCTCGAGAGATAAAGCGATGTCATATACATGAACTCCGAAAGAAGAATTACATGCACTTTTGTTGAAAAAGAAAAAATATATATAAACCCTTTTCACGAGTATACCTACCTTCACTGTAAATTTTGAATTGTAAAGCTCGGAATATTTCGCATAAGATATTTTTATATCTTCTGATATACGGTCAGTGAGTAAAAAAAAAAAAGTTTGAAAACTACCGTTCTAGATGAAAGAAAGAAATTCATCTTTTGTACTACCCTTTTTTCAGAGACAAACTATTTTGTTACATCCTCGTACGGGAAAGTAAATTTTAAGCTCGCGAGTTTGAAACTGTTACATTCAACTGGGATTCATTTTCAGACGGAAATCCGTAAAAAACTGGACCTGTAATATATATTTTATCGCAATTGTGTGACACACTTTTTATTATTATTACTAAAATCAAGACGAGTAGTAAAGTCGACTTTACCAACCAATCATTTTCTCTCTCTCTCTCTCTCTCTCTCTCTCTCTCTCTCTTTCTCTTTTATTATCGTAAGAAAATTGAATAAAAAAAAAAAAAGAAAAAAAAGGAAATAAAATAATATAAAAGATAATCCGTCATATTGCTCGTGTAAAAAAGAAACTTTCAGCCTCGGTATAAAAATACGAGTACGCGCGTGTGTGCATCGATGCATATTTGCTTAGCCGTTTCCCAGGAGTGCTGGAATAAAAAGAAACGAAATAAAACAAGTACAATGTTTTAAAGGTAGGAATTCCTGTCTAGTGCAGTCCCGTAGAAGATGACAGATAAAAGACCTTAAAATTTCTTCGACGCGTTAGATTTTCTTGTAGAAAACCTTAGAAAACAATTCTTACATATGTCCTGGGTAGTGGGCGTTTATCAAAATTGCATGTACGTTACGTAAAGTGTTAAAATAACGTTTACAATTCTCCAGAGTATTTTCATTCGCATTTATATTGTATATGTTTCACACCCAGTGTGTGCGATGTTTACGATTTTTGCGGCTTCCAAAAAGGGTCGTCGCTCAGACCCCTAATGTGGAGAAAAGGGTTGCTTTCCTAACGCCAAATCCAAACAGACGACCCTAACCAACGTCGACCCTCTTAATTTACGGTCCGCAACCTAGACCGAAGAGTAGGTATCTTATTTCTCTATCGCCCTTCATCGCGACTCTTGGTACTTCGTGCGACTTCATCGTCGTTTTTAAACTATCGTCTATTTTTGTGAATGTCTAGTTGATAGAAAAAAAAAAGAAAAAAAGAAGTAATTTTCGATTCGATCATCGGTTTATATTCGATTAATATCACGATTGTTATACGACAATAATGATTATTATTTTTATATCTAACTATATATATTATAGCTTTCCATTTGAGAACTGTACTGATCAAAACAATTTCTCGTTTGAATTTCAGATCGAAGACGCGATGCTCATGTTCGACAAGCAAACCAACAGGCACAGAGGTGAGTGAAATTTTGTCCTTTTTCGTATGCAATCGAAATTGATGCGACTGCGTGAATACAGAAACGAAAATGGAACGCTTTAGCTACGTGAATGTTCAAAACACGAATGGAAAATACGTACATACATATATATATATATATATATGTATGTACGTATTTTCCATTCGTGTTTTGAACATTCACGTAGCTAAAGCGTTCCATTTTCGTTTCTGTATTCACGCAGTCGCATCAATTTCGATTGCATACGAAAAAGGACAAAATTTCACTCACCTCTGTGCCTGTTGGTTTGCTTGTCGAACATGAGCATCGCGTCTTCGATCTGAAATTCAAACGAGAAATTGTTTTGATCAGTACAGTTCTCAAATGGAAAGCTATAATATATATAGTTAGATATAAAAATAATAATCATTATTGTCGTATAACAATCGTGATATTAATCGAATATAAACCGATGATCGAATCGAAAATTACTTCTTTTTTTCTTTTTTTTTTCTATCAACTAGACATTCACAAAAATAGACGATAGTTTAAAAACGACGATGAAGTCGCACGAAGTACCAAGAGTCGCGATGAAGGGCGATAGAGAAATAAGATACCTACTCTTCGGTCTAGGTTGCGGACCGTAAATTAAGAGGGTCGACGTTGGTTAGGGTCGTCTGTTTGGATTTGGCGTTAGGAAAGCAACCCTTTTCTCCACATTAGGGGTCTGAGCGACGACCCTTTTTGGAAGCCGCAAAAATCGTAAACATCGCACACACTGGGTGTGAAACATATACAATATAAATGCGAATGAAAATACTCTGGAGAATTGTAAACGTTATTTTAACACTTTACGTAACGTACATGCAATTTTGATAAACGCCCACTACCCAGGACATATGTAAGAATTGTTTTCTAAGGTTTTCTACAAGAAAATCTAACGCGTCGAAGAAATTTTAAGGTCTTTTATCTGTCATCTTCTACGGGACTGCACTAGACAGGAATTCCTACCTTTAAAACATTGTACTTGTTTTATTTCGTTTCTTTTTATTCCAGCACTCCTGGGAAACGGCTAAGCAAATATGCATCGATGCACACACGCGCGTACTCGTATTTTTATACCGAGGCTGAAAGTTTCTTTTTTACACGAGCAATATGACGGATTATCTTTTATATTATTTTATTTCCTTTTTTTTCTTTTTTTTTTTTNTATATATATATATATATATATAACGTTGTGACTTGAGAAAATATGACGAAAATGCATAGAGAGCTTTCTCTCTACCTGTTTAACGAATCAACAATGCCAGCATTTCGCTAGCAAACATCAAGCCTGGTAATTAACAGCCGGGGCTGAAACTGTAATTACTAATTACGGTAATTCGCGAATGTCAGTGCGATGTCGGTGTAGCCAAAGACAAATAACATTAATTCGACGGGATATTCGATCGTTTCGTTTGTCATGATATGGATGCAAATGATTTGAAAATTGATAATATATTGGATGCCATCTTGCATATTTGATTGGGTACAATTTGCCGCGAAGTAGGTGGGAGGATTCGCGGCGGCGGAGGGGGGAAGGGTTGGAGGGTAGGGTACGAGAGCTGAGTCGCAAGGTTTAATCGTAGAAAAAGAAATATTCGTATTCGAACGTTACGTGTTTTCGCAGATCGGATATAAAAAGGTTTTTTCCACGTAGTTTGAAAATCTACTGCTTCGCGTTATCAACTGACAACTTCGCCTCCTGGGAGTCGTAAATTCTAAGAAAAAAAAAAACGTCTTTGCGATCGGTCCAATCATGCTCTTCTTCGAGTAGCGAGCAAAAAGGTATTTGTTTGAAAAATCCCTCTCTTTCTCTCCTTCTCTCTGTCCCTGTTTTACATAAAATGAAATAAACTCTGCGTGTATATGTTATTTTTTTAATAGAATCAAATAGCACATCCAAGAGAAAAAGTGATCGTAAAGCGGACATCCACTATGGTTTTTGTAAGATGAAAGACAACGTGAAGAAAGACAAGAGGAGAAAAAAGAAAAGAAATAATAGTTATCGAGTGTCATCGTTCTCGATTGTTAAAGTGTCGTATAACCGAGTGAAAATTGACTGCGAAGAGATTCGGATGATTGAGAGACTATGATAAATGAAATATCTGACAAAAAGAGAGGAGGGTGTAAAATAGGCCAACGTAATTTCCAGTAGTACTCGGTTGCACCTTTCCAATGTTGGGGATGGGAATAGGTGAAGGGGAGAAAGAGAGAAAGAGAGAGAGAGAGAGAGAGAGAGAGGAAGGGAACCGACCAAAGGCAAAGAAGAAACTCCGACTGGTTCTCTGTTCTGAATTCATTTACTTTGGAACTTCAATGGGAGTCGATAATCGTTGGTGATCGAGGCACCCGACCCACTCGATAATCGGGATACTCTCTCTTTCTCTCTTTATCTTTTTTTATCAGTATCCGGTGCACTTTCTCATTCGCTATCTCCCTCGTTCTTTCTTTAACCTACCTTCGTCTACCATCGTCGTTGGCAAATGCCTGGCGGCGGGTCTCGGTGATAGATTCTAATATCGCTTATGAAAAATAGGGCCAAATGGGATATGAAAGCTGGCTCCCTTCAATGTGATGGGGATTCGACTTGCCTGGAAAAGGAGAGGGAAGAGGTTGAGTATGATAGAGCGCCGGAGGTTTGGGGTAAAATCGTGATCTATAAACGGAGTAGTAGGATGGAACGAATAAGAAAGTAGTGGAATAAGGGTGGTGGGAGGGGAGGGTGTGCGGTATGCCGCACATCGTAACGAATGGAAAACGACAAGGAGGATAATACGTGAAGTGCGACGAGACTTGGGGGTAGGGCGAACGAGAAAAAGCGAGAAAGAGAGAGAGAGAACTAAAACGAGGGTGGAAGAGAGAAGGGTAGTCTACTATAGTGCTGCTCGTTGAGCCAGCTCGAGGGTGTGGGCACGAAAAGGAAAAAGATAGGGGAAAAGAGGTAGGAGCTTCTTTCAAACCGGCACGTAATCTCTCTCGCGATGACATCCAATACCAGTTCTATCTAGTGCGAGACTGTGAACCTCGAACTCGAGCTGCTCACACACACGCACATACACACATACATACAGCCACAGAGACACGCCAATACTTTTAGATTTCAAAATATGGTACTTTTGTATCTAACCCCTGACCTTTGAGAGGATAGTAGTTTCGAAGTTCTTACCGGTTGCGCTAGGTGAGAAACTTGAAACAAAATAAACTGAGAATCGAACGGACGTGCTTTATCATCCTGGCCAGTTATTACATTCATATTGTCATTGAATCGTGGTCACGCTTTCAGTTCGGTCCGATGTTCTATCCCAACGGCCGGATATCGAGGATAAATCTGGAACGTGCACCCCATGAACTTTGCAATCTAAATTTCAATTATTCGCGAGCTATGCTTCCCGTTCCCCCCTCCCCCATCCCTCCTCCTTCTCCTCCTCCTTTCTATCGAGAAATTCACTTGGCAATGCGAACGGATCACCGAATAAACGGGAACATTTGGCCCCCACAGAGTTTGCGCATTGTCTCGTTTTCGATGACGACAGGTCTGATCTAATCGCGCGTAAAATATACGTAAGAAAACAAAGAAGCTGGAAGCGTCGATTAATAAACACTGTCATACAACTCTTTACAAATCTTGCATTATCTTTGTTTTATTTTCCTAATTCATTATCGTATAATCACGAAATTAAATAAAAAAAAAAAGAAAGGGTACTGTTTATCGCATACAACTTTTAATATATTTGTCGATCGAAAAAAGAAAAGAGAAAACAACAATTTTCATCGAGTAACATACGTATCCGCGATACCGAGAATTAAACTCTCGAATGTAAATCAAATTAATGCTATTCACGAGTATCCAAACAGATTATTCGTATCAATAGCCAACACGAGCATTTGAAACTTGAATTCGTTTGAATACCGTAAAGCTTTAGATTCGCGAATGAATCGTAGACTGTAATAGTAGTTACACATGTGAAACGATGAAAAAGAAATAAATAGATAAAGAAAGAAAGAAAGAAAGAAATAAATAAATAGACATCGAAATTACAAAAAGAGATCACCGTCTATCCTTCGTGAGTTTCTTCTCTTTATACCCGAAATCCCTGAAGGAGGAGAGTCTCCTCTCTCACTGTAGCAAATCACTGATAGAAGGATGAGGAACCCTCGAGGAGGAGTTCTACCAAGCAAGGACATTCCGCGAAGCGTTTCTGGACAATTTCGAGTCCTGATGGTTTCCGTACCGAGCTATGATTTCCACGTGGATAGGCAACCTGCAATTGCACCAAAGCGAATCTTCTTCTCCCATTCCATCCAACCATCCCTCTTTTATACTCTCTCTCTATCTCTCTCTATCTCTCTCTATCTCTCTCTATCTCTCTCTATCTCTCTCTATCTCTTCTTATCCCTCTTTCTCTATCTCTCACATAGAAGAGGTATACGTCGAAGTGCGATTATCCAAGCTTCGCTGGCCAAAGGATTTTCCCTTCGTGAGCTTCGCTCTCTTACTAGCCGAAGTAGTAGAAGGAACGAACCCGGTTGCAAGTAGGAGAGTACCTCGACGAGAACGCTTCGTGAATTTGCTTCTCTCTTTCTCTCTCTCTCTCTTTCTCTCTCTCACACATATATCTACGCTCACGAGCGAACGATCTTACGGTTGAACATACACGCTCGATCTTGCGCACGCTCACCTATCTTCAACGAGCACTTACGTATGTACATACACTAACGTAAAAGATCATAGACACATATATATATATATATATATATATATGTTCGTGTAGTCATAAATGGTCGTATAGGAAAGACGAACATAGTCTGAGGAGAAACAGTGTGTGTTCTTACGTGTTCGTAAGATGAGCAGCAGCAGCAATAGCAGTAGCAGCAGGCAGAGGAGCAGTGACCGATGATCAAAAAGGGGTTGGTTGCCTTTGCGTCTTTCGGAAGAAGAAGCATCCTCGACTAAACACACGTGCTTGTCGAAGCAACTT